AATGAACAGTTTAGAATTGAGGGGCTGAGGAAATGGCTTAGTGGTAAGAGTGCCTGCTGAGCAAGTACGAGGACTCCAGTTCAAATCTCAAGACATGAAAAGCCAGGAATGGCCCTGTACACCTGGAACTAGTGCTGTGGAGGAGAGCGATGAGAGGAGCGTCCCTGGGCCTCCTGACTGCCAGCCTAGCTCTAGATCTGGTGAGAGACCCTGTCTCAAGGCAGTAAGGCAGAGTGGTAGTGCAGGGTACCCCATGTCCTCTTCAGGTACCTCCATGCACACAAGTACTATGTACCAAGTACCTACCTCAGACCCACAAAAGACAGAAAGCAGTTCCCTGAGGAAGAAGAATGTAAGGGTAAGATCTCATAACTTCACATCTACATGACCTTTAAAAATTATTTACAGTATCTATTTCTCTTTGCTAACCTTTAAGAAATTAAAAATCTGGTTTTTTTATTTGCATATACACACACATTTTGTTTTGAGACAGATTTTGTTTCACATAGCCCAGGTGGGCCTCAGACTTACTGTGTAGCTAAGCTTTACACTCTTGGCCCTTGTGATTGAAAGGTTTGCTCAGTAGTTAAGAGCACAGGCCAACACTCACATGATGGCTCACAATCACCTATAACTCCGTGTCAGGACTCCCAATATCATTTTCTAGCTTCTGTGGCACAAGACAGGCATGTGGTGCATAGACATACATCAGGCAAAACATATTTAAAAACAAAAGGCCTGGTCTTCCTGTCTTCCTTCAAAGTGCTGAGATTAGAAGTGTATGCCACCACATCTAGGGTGTAAATTTTAGAGATGACATCTTTAGGATTTAAATTGTTCCATGGGAGTTTATGATTTCTCCAAACCATGCAACTGGTTAGTGGTACTTAATAGTTCTGACATTTAACATTAGAATCTAATTCATGTCATTTGAGTATCCAAATCTTGGTTTTTAATAATGCAGTCAGAGCCAGTTAATCTAAGTAAGGTATCACTGGACAGCCTTGCTTATACTGTATTCCACAGAAAACAGTGCTGTGTTGAGCAGAGCAAGGACTCCGATGGAATGTATTTTTAAAAAATACTGCATATAGTAACTCTTAGACCATCACTGCATGTTAGCATAAAGGTAATTGAGAAATTCAGTCCTTGCTCAATCTGAAAAGCTCTTTGGGGAAAGTGTTCAGTTGCAGGTGACTGTGCTTTATTACTAAGCTAGGCAAGAACTCTAGCACTAAGTGACATCCCCAGTATGGGGTTAGATATTTTGTCAAGTGCAACCTGCTTAAACCAAGTACATGAAATCAGTGTACTGGAGAGGTTAAGAGCACTGGCTGTTTTCCAGAGGACATGTGTTCAATTCCCAGCACCCACATTGCAGCTCACAGCTGTAACTCCAGTTCCAGGGGACCTGACACCCTCCCACCAGTGCAGTATTTAAATTTAAATAAATTAACCATCTTCTGTGAACGAAAAATGGAAGGTCAAACCATGTTCCTAACGTTGGGGAACAGGTATAGTGTTTGCATTTTAATATCTTCATCTGTTTTCCTCATGAAAGGCTTGTGCATCATGACGACTGCTTGGATAGAACACTTTATCCCCTTCTTACCAAGAAACACTGGCTGTGGACCAGAAAATGTTTTGTTTGCAAGATGTATACAGCCAGGTGAGTGACTGTTTCTTCCCTTTAAAAAGTACTATTTTTCACTTTGGGTATTTGGGATATCTGCTTTCAGTTTTGAGTTTCAGAGTTTTATCTACTAGAGTGTTCCAGTTTTAGTGTAGTTAAATTTTGGTTAAAATTAGCATTTTGTTTTGTACAAAGGATCGAACCCAGAACCTGCTGCCATTAATCAATCACTAGGCTATAACCCCACATTTTAAAACGAGGAAATGTATACATGGAGTTCAGAACAAACTTCAAGGTTATGAGGAGCCCTATGCTTTCTGTTTCTCTGCTGTCACGTTTCATCTCAGTTTTTCATGAAGCCAAAATAAGATTTTTTGTTTTTGATCAGTCACTGGGACACAGACCTATAATTACTCAGGAGGCTGAGGTAGGAAGATTGTGAGTTGAGTGCTGGCCGGGGCAGGAGTGTAGCACAACGTGAAGGACTTGAGTCAATCCTGAGTGCTGTCAGCGTGTTGACACTGGGGATTATTTTCTGGTTTGTTTCAAAGAGGAGAGTCTCATAGCCAGAGCTGACTTTCCTCAAATGAACTGTAAAAATGGACTTGACCTTGAATTTCTGATATTTCTGCCTTAGTCTCTTGAGTGCTGGGATTATAGGTATAAACCACTGTCCCCAGCTATGAGATGATTCTTACTATTAATTAGAGCCCAAAAGTTTGGAAACTACTCGGGGAAATGAATGAAAATTTAGTATCTTGTTTGCTTTGGATTCCCTATCACAGTATTTTCTCAAGGACCATTAGGAAAATAGAAATCAGTCACCAAAATGAAAATCAAGGAATTGGTTGAAAATTTCCAGAACATTCAGAAGAAAATGAGACTAAAATGATAAACTAGAGGAACTTAAAAGCAGAAATTTCCTGTGACCAGTGACATGGCATGAAACAGTCTCAGGTGAACATTGGCACTTATACTCCCTGTGTGTAGAGCAGACTCTGTAATGTTTTTATCTTCCAATCTAGATTCAAATGCTTGCATTCCCAAACTAACCAAATAAGAATGATAATGGCCCCTGTGCAGGGATGATATGCAAATTGAAGTGTTTCTTTTTTTGATGACACGGTCATCTCCAGTCATTTGTAGAGTAACTAGAAGAGCTTGGACATGGTCTCCACATAGAGAATTATCATACTCTATTCTCTTTAGATATGTATAAGCTTGCTTGTTTTAAAATAAGTATCTGGTATGTGAACACATGCCTATAATCCCAGCACTCTGGAAGCTGAGGCAAGGGGATCATGGTTTTGAATCTGGACCACATAACTAAATTAAGGAAGTCTTTTGGGGTCATAGACCCTTTTAGAAAACAAGTGAGTTACTTAAAGGACAGGGGTTCTCATGTTGTGTGCTGCTTTCTGATAGATTGTTTCCTTAAGAGGAAGTCTTAGGTAACATAGTTCTCCCGCATTCCCTGTTTGATGGCCTAGTGTCTGTGGAGGCATCGGGGAGAGTGTTCTTTATGTACTGTTAGAGAGCACTGGTTTGCAATCCTTGAATACAGTTTCTCATGTGTGGTGACCCCAAGCATAAAATTATTTTTGTTGCTACTTCATTAACTGTAATTTTGCTGTTATGAATCATAATGTAAATATCTGATATGCGACCTCTGTGAAAGTCATTCAACAGCCCCTCCCCCAAGGAATCATGAGGTTGAGAACTGCTGTTACAGGCTATAACTCATACAGTGTTGAAGCATATTTTAAAAAAATCTCTGAGTTCGAGGCCAGCCTGGTCTCCAAAACGAGTTCCAGGAAAGGCGCAAAGCTTCACAGAGAAACCCTGTCTTAAAAAAAAAAAAAAAAAAACCAGCTGTAATACAACATACATTTTTTTTTTTTTTCAACTACAGATGGGTGACGAACAGTGACACCTTTGCACCGGAGGATCCATGTTTCTTTTGTGATGTTTGCTTCAGGATGCTCCACTATGATTCCGAAGGCAACAAACTAGGGGAATTCCTTGCTTATCCTTATGTCGACCCAGGAACCTTTAATTAGTACCACCAAAAAACGTTTTTCCCCTACTAAAGTTTAATTAATATATTTATTACTTATTACAGTGTTTTGTGTTGTGGCTTTTAATTAAGTTGTTTATGTTACTGAGATGTAGAAATACTTTTGTATTCTGAATATATAAACTTCGTTGGAAACACAACTTCTGATTCTTTTCTCCGAGTCCTATGCATTACGTACCCAAATGGGTTTTGCTAATGATAGAATGCAGTTAACAATACATCAAGTCTAGTAGTCTTTTTAAAGAACTCTGTGAAGGATGTGAGAGCTACACCTCCTACTATGAAGTGTCCAAGGTAAAGACCCTTCAAATATCTGTAGTAAGGAGAAATTAAAAGCAAATTATTTGATAAACAGAATATTAGTAGTTACAATTTAATTTTGGGCTCCTGTGATAATTTTTAAGGCAGATGCTATGAAAAGATTTTAAGTGACACTTACAGCATTATTTAAAGTGTAGCCCATTTCTTGAAATCACAAATGGGTTGAGTTTAAAATGTCATTTACAGTTATGGCTAAAGAAAACAATAGCAATTTTACATTATTGTGGCTCACTTAATCTTCATAATACTTTTGAGCATGTGAAAATCAGAAGAAAGAAAATCGTTTCAGTTCGGTGCTTCCGTTCTTCTGTCCCCTTGCTGTAACCATAAAACTAGAAGTGCTGTACATTTCTAATTCAGAGCTATAGAAAAACAAAACCTGCTAAACAGATTTTATCAAAATATTTTGTGGAAACTTTTGGGGTAGAAAATGAACATCTATAATAATAATATAAAGTAGGTTTTTAACCATTACTTTCTCTGTCCTAGGTTTAATTTAAATTCAGCTGAATCTTCTCTAGATGGCTGCTAAGAACAGATAATTAATTACCTTATAAATAAACCAATGAAGCCTACACATCTGTTTAAGATTGTGAAGTTTAAAAGAAGGTGAAGCATGTATCGTGTCACAAATCCAATTATGGCGACTGACATGGAGATGACAAGTGCCTGCATGTGGTATGTCTAGAAGTATTCTTGTTTAGCCAACACAGGGTACCATTTACTCAGCAGGGCTAACTTACTATGTGCCTAAGTTTCTTTCCTGTATTGAATGGTGCTAACATTAAGTACACTGAGAATTCTGCTGCAGAATCATACATTCATAATGAATGAAAGATTTACTCAATATCTTGATAAATACAGCAGTTCATGTGGGTCTTGTTCATACCAGGAAGTTAGTTATCCCTAATACATGTGTAATGCCAATTACCCCATTTTAATAGACAAAGATGACATAAGAGATAAACATTATTGTATGGAATCCTTATTGTTTATTAAGAATGCTATTCTATTTCCTTTTTACCAAAAGTTCACACCTTCCATTTCTTTGATGGTGGAAATGAGAAAAGGCTAACCAGGTTGATGCAATTATCAACTATATAGGTATCCCAACTAGTTCACATAAAAAGAATTTCAACTTTATATTAACAAGTATAAAGCCCCTGACTTCAGACAGCTTTTGTTATGCCAATATCAATCTCTTAAATACAACATAACAAATTTCACGTGTCACTCTAAGGACAGAGGTAAATATGAATTGCACAACCTTATCAGTGAACGTCCCTGTGGACATACCTGTACAAGATCACTGTATAGAAAATGGCTGTTTCCTCAAGCATCTTGCTTATGCTTCACAATTCTTTTAAAGATAACTATACCATGTAATTTTACAGCATGGGCAGTCATGCCTAGTATTTATTGGCGAATTACACAATGCAGATTTAAGGATATTTTGCTATTTGCGGTAGATAGTCCATTCTCTGACCAATGGAATAAAGTTTGTTAACTGAAGCCTTTGCTCTGCATACAGGAGTAGATGGCAGACTCCATCTTCACCTGGCATTTTTAATCAGGTAAGTGGATATGAAGAGGAACATTTTTAGTGTACCACATCACCATCTTGGTAAAAATCTATCATGCTATAGAATTCCTAGTTAGAATAGCAAATGTGGTCTAATGAGCTCTGGTCAAATTGTTCACACATACAGACTTGCAATCAGAATCTCTCATTAAGGTGGAATATCTGAAATTGATCCAAGCAGCTGAGAAAACTAACATTGAAAATAGGTATCTATGCATGCATGTTACACATACACTGTACACAGCACAGGTGGCTATCACATTGAATAGAGCTCTCCCTTCAGCTGTAGTTTCGTTTACAGAGGTTAGAGAGTGATAGCTTGCCTGTGAATTACCTACAAGATGAAAGACGGCAGCTGTGCTTCAAAGGAACATACCTGGTCAGAGCCAGACAGCCTGCCCAAGAAGGACCTAAACTAACAGTGAGTGCTGCTAACGTTCTGAGCGGGGTATTCGAGAGCTGCTTCAGGAAGCTAACGCCTGTGCTTAGGGAAGGAAGGAGAAGTCAACACAAGGCATGTGACAGTCATTTCCTGAGCTTACTACTGCATAGATCCTGAGCCCCTAACAGGATCTCGGTGACAGCTAAGGAGGACACTACTTCTTTAGCAGGAAATCAACAATTCTTTCAGTAACTCTTCTCAATTAGCAGTAATAATAATTTACTAATAGAGTTTGGTAGAAAACAACTTTAATTAAAACAAGTTTACACATTTGACACTTATGGCTTAACTAGAATAATTTTTGTCCAAGTTAAAAACGTACTAAGGACAAAACAGAAGACTGGTGTATATATAATGTACAGCATTGCCCAAAACAGTAGAGCAAAAGTCCAATTATTGAATAATTCAAAATCCTTTACATAAGTGAAAATAATTATCTGGGAAGTCATATATAATCACACCACACAAACACTGGTATTAAGTCACTTTCCCATTAAATTTCAAAGCATAGTGATGAACCTTTCTTCCTACTGGAAGCCAATAACTGACGTGATTACTCAGAATATCTTTGAAATGTTATTCCTTAATTTAACAGGCTCTGATAGTCTACATTTATGTGTATGAACTATCTAGTTACTACCTTGGAGCAACTGATATTTCTACCTTTTATTTTTCTAATCCTGTGATGTCTGATACAGAAACTAAATACAAGTCTCATTCTAATATGGCCCTGTTTTCAATGAAGTTAGTTTCCTTATTTGTTTATATTTAACACTTATAAGCATCATGGATTGATTACAATTAAATAAAAAAAAAAAAACCCATGTAGATAGATAGACCTTAATGCATGTGACCTTAATGAGTGTAAGATTAAAAACAAACTATTTTATGTTTTTGTGATTAGTAGCTAAAAAGGATTGTAGATGAACTTCCTATATATATATATAATCTCAGTCTGTTCTCTTTAGTACTGACTCCACTGAATTCCCAGCCCTAAAACTAAATTACTTGCCAAAGTTAAGAAATTTGTACCTTCTAAGACAATCAGTTGGACATCTAGTTGTCATACAGACTACACATTATTAGAAAGAGGCAAGCTAATGCAGCACAATAGATTGAGGTTAAAGTTAACTTCTGATAAAAAGGAGTGAGTGCTTAGAAGTCACATTCATTTTATCAACCATAAAAATGCTCAACTTCTAAAAAACCCACAAACAGTGAAAAGACAGTCTGGTAAATCCAAGATTTGTAAAAACTATGCACAAAACCCACAGTACTTGGGAGAAGAGGGACGATTTACACAAGGAGCAGTTTTAAAATGTAACTGGCCTACTACCAATTACACATGGACACACACACTCTAACTGAAATACACTAGTCATGTCTATAAAGCGGGTGAACCTTTCTAAGTAGGTTTCCCTCACATTTGAACTGGATGATGGAGCTGTTAATACTGCACACGGAAAATGAGCAATAAGTTTTACTTTTACACAAACATAAAGGGATTTTCTTCCCCCAAACTACTTAAACATCAAACCTATGCTTATAAAAATTTAACCCTTTCAGCAGCCTAAGGATTTCAAATGAAGCCACTCACAACAGACTTCACATCATCTTTACACCACATGTCCGCCAACCTAGTTATCAAGTGGTGACTCCTTCAGAGATAGTTCAGCCTCTCTCTCTTCTCCGGGGGACCTAAAACAAAGGGAGAAATGAAAGCTGTCACAACAAGACTTGAGGGTATTCTTTTGAGCAAAAAGGGCTTTAGATCCTATTTAAGAAAAAAAAAAAAAAAAAGGTCCCATTTTTAAAAAATGAAATCACAAAACACTTGTGACATGTATGTTATTAAAAAGTAATGCATAGATCTGGGGAGATAACCCAAGGAGGCATCTAACTTTAAGAAGATATTTAAACAGAATTTGTATCTATGATGACAACATAAAATAAGAACTAGACAAATAATGTAGTATATAAAATAGTGATACTTGCGATTTAATATTCTAACAATTTAAGAAAGTGCGAAGAAAATTCAAAGAAAACTAGTTTTCTTTCAGAGTTCCTACTGAGATTCATTTTCCTGAGTAAATATAAGGGTAATAATTATACAATCTGTAATCCCAAACAGACTCCGGCTGGAGAACTGCTACACATTCAAGGCTGACCTGGGCAATGTAGGGAAACCTTGTCTCTATAAACCATTTTAGGGTATTGGGGATGAGACAGGGTCTCACTATGTAACCTTCTATTTTCTGGTGCCAGCGTTCATTGAACTCAGCCTTAGCTAAGAGCACCACTACTAACCACCTCCAGTTCGCCCTACTGTCTTTTATTTCCTTAAATAAACGGGAGTGTTCTTTCTGCATGTTCCCCTGCACACATCAGAAGTGGGCATCAGATCTCATAGATGGTTGTGAGCCACCATGTGGATGCTGGGAACTGAATTTAGGACCTGTGGAAGAACAGCCAGTGCTCTGAGCCACCTTTCTAGTCCCTCCTGCCTTTTTTATTCACGACTTTAAAAAAAGAAAATGAGGTTGATGTAATGGCACCCACCTTTAATCAAAGCACTCTAGAGGCAGACTTCTCCATGACAGGGACACAAAGTACAGAATGAGATCTTGTCGGAAAGGAAGTGTTAAGCGAAAATATCTAACTATTACTGGGCATAGAGCTGAGGGATCCAGTGTTTCCCTAGCATAGTTAAGTCTTAGGGAAAAGTATGGGGCAGTATTATTGTGCTAAGATCATGAGTTTAAAAAACAAAAAAACCGGGCGTGGTGGTGAATAACTTGATCTTAGCACTTGGGAGGCAGAGGCAGGTGGATTTGAGTTTGAGGCCAGCCTGGTCTACAAAGTGAGTTCCAGGACAGCCAAGTCTATACAGAGAGAAACCCTGTATGAGTTCTTCCTGAACCTGCTTTTGTGTACCATGTGAAGGTCTGGTGTCTGAAAGCCAGAAATGGGTAATGGGTCCTCTGGAACTGGAGATAGGACAGTTGTGAGCTGCTCTATGGGTGCTGGGAATCAAACCAAGTCCACTAAAGGTTTAGGGCTCTTAACATCTGAGCCCTTTCTCCAGGCCCGCATGACTGCCCTTACTGCCCTTACTTTTTCTTACTGCTGGCCTCATGGCTGTCTTTGCTGTCTTCATTACTGTCACCATTGTGTTGCGGATGACTACTGTCTTGAGTGTCAGATCCTCCATTTAAGGTCTTTGAACCTTTAGAATACAAAAACTGTTAGCACAGACAAAATAACACACTAAATTATCTTCACTATTCAAGGTCAAAGCATGGCCCTTATGTTCCTAGCACATATTCAGCCTTTTGATGAATTTTAGGATTAGGTTTGAAGTCATTTCAAAAAAAGAGGAATGAAAAATGTAATGTTAACTTGTGTCATCCAAAGGCTAGAGTAGCTAAGGCACAACAAGAACCAAGTTTTGTTTTCTAAGTGGATAGTGGACTTGAATTACTAATCTCATTACATTACATTTAGGAAAACTGAGTGGTAGAACTTTTTAGTCACTAGCATGTAGCTTTTTGGGGGGGAGAGAATTATATTTTGTATTAATAGTATTTTAGAGCATAAAGTGCTCAAAATATCCAACTGACATGACTGGGTATTTTCCTGTAAAATTTACTAATAAATCTCTAAGGGAATCTAGTAAGTAAAAGAGTTTTTGTTTTGTTTTGTCTTAAAAGATTGGTCTTTACCACAAGCAATAGCAGTTATGGTGTTATGGAATTGGAGGCCTCTATTCTAAGAATCCTCTGTAGGTAAATTCTAAACTACAATGGGATTGTAGTTCTGGACTATAGTTATGTCTGGAATTTAGTTTTAAATACATCTGGGTTGGCAAAAGGCTACACGAGATGACAACATGCATATATTCAGCACTCCTTCATCCAACATATTTGGACCCAGCAGTGTTATATCTTGACTATTAAGACTCAATTTCATGTGCATCTTAAACACAATACCTGAAGACAGTTTATACATAGGTAAATCACAAAACAAAGGTGTGTCAGCTATCCACTTGGATTGTCTGATTAACTGTCATCACTCTTATTCCTGACTCCATTTAGATGCTACTGATAATTGACTGTTTTCTTATAATACAGTAGAATACAGCTTATATCCACACATAACCACTCAGCAGTTACAAGTTATATAATGTTACTTTAACACAGTGCACAACAATCTCAGGATAACTAAGCAACACTGAAAATCTGTAGGTTATGATCAGAAAAAAATAAGCAGCATCTTTGCCTCCAACCTTAAAGCAGCTACTCTGGTTGTATGCCTAGTGTACATTGTAATTTTGGCAAAAAGAAAAAAAGGTGGAGGGCTGGTTCTTTAGAAGACATTCTGATGAACACCTTTTAAAAACTTTCCCCAAAACTTAACTGTCATTAACAATGTCTTGCTGCTCTACTCCTTCAAAACAGGCAGTGTAACATTCTTTTTTTCCCCCCATTGTAACATTCTTACCAGGTCGTGTACAAGTACTGTGTTAATGTCATTTCCACTGTTAACTAATGCAACCTCATGACTGATAAAGGCTTCAATGTCTACTTTTGCTAACATATGCAACAAAAGCCTTTACAGAAGCAGTTAGTCCTGGTAAACACTGAGAAGGGGAAACCCAGCTTAAAGGTATAAGCACATACCGGTTTGTTCTTTTTCTAGCTTTTTGTTTGGCCCTTTCTTTCCTTGGTCTTTGGTTTTATTTGCTTCCTCATGCTGTCTTTGTTCAGCAAGAGATTTGTTCAGCACTTGGGTGATGACTGAATCCCCTTCACCAACCAAAAACATATTCTTAAACTTGTTATATAACATTGTGGACTTTTCCATGATAACTTGACTAACTTTGAACCGCCGTATCTGAGAAAACAATAGTTAGAATTAGTTTTCGTAAATGATTTACTTACACTTTCTTTAAAGAATTGAGAACAGATGTTAGATTTACAGGTCTTGAAGCCACTTACTTTCTTCAGGGTTGTGATCATCTCTGTGTGTTTCTGAGCTTGTTGCATTGTTACCTGAAGTGAAGCAAGTTCATCCAGTGCCTCAATGCATCTGTTCACATCCTTCATGACAAAACAGCAATTTTATAACTGTTAATTACCAAAACAGCTAAATAATCTACTTTTGAAGATTTTTTTTAAGGCTCTTAAGGTAGTAAGTACAAAATGGCCAGGTATTGTTCCTTTTATTTTAAACTTACACACTAGTCATGTGAGAAAATATATAAAGCTATTAAAGCAGTGCATTTTAAATGAGGTTGAACACTTACTAGATTATCAATTTTGAGTGAATTTTTAATTTCAGCATGTATCCTTTGAAGTCGAGAATCCATTGATGTTTCTATAAATTGAAATATGTGAAAAACAGTAAATAGTTTTTCCCCCACACCGTATCTCTGTACAGTCTAACAAATAAATGGTGGTTATGAAGTGATCTTTAAGAAGCCCATATAGATGAATAGTATAAAAAGTTACTAAATTTAATATATGTCTGGAGAAGAAACATGCAGCATAAAAGCACAAAATTACTACCATGCTGCATTTGTTTCTAAACTCCTCTGTCTTAGATGATGAACTCGTACATGTCAGGTCTTAACTCCTCTTTTACCTTATCCATTAACTGCAAGGTATTTATCAAAATGGGCAAACCGCCAGTGCTTATGAAGGTTGCAAAACTGACACCAAATAAACATTAAAATTATAGACATTAGCAAGGTCACTTTTAATTGCTTAAAATGCAATTTAACATAGAATCCATCAGATTTGAAAAGTTATGTTTGTAGGATGTAAGAACATGAGATGGAATTCAGAAAAATATTTAATCTATGTACTTTGGTTTTTTAAGCCAGGGTCTCACTTTGTACCCCTGGTTGCCCTGGAACTTTTGATTCTCCTGGCTCTGCCTCCTTAAATGCTTGGATTACAGGCATGTGCCATCACACCCAGCTTCCATAGACTGTCTAAGTGTCATTTGTATGTCTTAGAAAGTAAAGTAACTAACCTCGCTTCTTCTCCACTTTCTTAACTTCTGGCTTCTTTCCTTCATCTTTATTCTGCCTATCAAATGTTAACACAAATATTTCAAAACACTGGAACTTTGTGACTAAGGTTAGCAGATGCCCATATTCCCCTATGTAAAGGTTTAAAATATGTTCCTTAAAAATAATAAATCAGCCTACAACACAGGACACTGACTAATTTCTAGAACTATTCAGCCCTATAGCATTTGCATAAGTACAGGCAAAACTCAAACATGCTAAGTTAGCCTTAGCATGTTAGTATAACTTTGAAGCAGTCACAGTGAAATGTGATGCTAAAAATCCAATTTCAAGATCACTGGCCAAACAAGCCACAAGGGGAAGAGCTATAAATGCTAAATGAATTTTTGTCAAATTCTTTTCTTATAATTATTTTTGAAAGCTATTAAAGTAGACCAATTAAGTTGTTCCCCACATCTCCAACAGGCAGGTAATTCGAGAGACTCTGAAATTAGCTTCAGTAATGATTAGACCTGCTTTAAGCTGATACTATGGATTTTATTTTAAAATTGGGGAGGATGCCATTATCATCAAACTAAATGACATCCACTAATATTTATATACCATTTCATAAATGAAAAAGAACCATATTACTAAGATTAACAAAAATAACCTTTCAAATTAGAAATTTTAATTTCTAGTACCTTGGCTTGGCATTCAGGCCTTATTATGAACCAATTAAAATAGACAAGAACAAAAAATACCTAAAAATCCGTTTTTTTTAAAAAAAACTTTATTTTAAAATTTTGGTTACAGTTCATTTTTTTTTTTTTTTACTTAACAAGTCTAATGTTTAATCTCTCAGGATTAAAAAGAAAAAAAACAAGACTAAAGAATTTAACAACAAAAGAATGTCAAGGGAAGGGGCACAACTGCCCCATTTTTCAAGAACGTAATAGCTATTCCAGTTTAACACCTAGCTTCAAAACAAAATGAGTTTTCATATCTTCTAAATGAAATAATGTACAAACACCATCTTCATCTATGTTTGTTATAACTTTCAAACACAAAGCTTCATTTTAAGCTTGGTTTAAAAAAAAAAAAAGGCAGGAATGTTGGCCACCTTAATATGTAGTGTGTACCTTACAGGATATTTTGTCAACAATCATAACACAGTTAATAATGCCATTAGTAATGAAGTCCTCAATTTAGAATCTGGAACATTTCTTCCGTCAAGGGGGGGAAGGGGAAATTCAGTCCAATGAGTCTGTCTCAAGATCTTCATCGCTTGTATGCTCCACTTGTATTCTCTTTTCAGTTACTGGATTAATGCTTTGAGCCCAAAATGAGATATATTTTTTATTACTGTAGATTACATGTTGTTTGGCTGGGAATACAATACAATAAACTTTATTTTGCATAATGCATTTCACACAAGTTGCATCTGAAATGCTTTACAGAGCAAAACTGTCCAAGTACAAAGTTTTGTAATAACAGGAGAAGGAAAGAAAACACAAATATTAGAATTTGAGAAAGTTACATTGGAGGACATTCAAAAGAAACTGATATACAAAAAGATATCTTGAGATTCTGAAGAAGGATTGGGCTAGATTTACTAAGCAACAACTAGTTTATGCCTTAAGTCAGGGAGCACAGTTAAAAGCAAAAACAGTCACAGTTATGCAGTGGAGAGAAAGGACAGGAATAACGGCATTTACAAATGTGCCCATGGTCTGGCATTTTAATCACTTTTAAACTCCCTTGTCAAGCAGCTGAACTGCTATGTATCCTACAAACCACTACAGAAGCAGAGACAATGTATCTATAAAGTTGTTCAGCTTGCAGATGCATCATAAAAGCAAAAGAAAACTGTTTTTACTATTTGTCACACTGTCTTACTGACCTACAACATGTTTTCAAAATCATCTCACTCACTAGCAATAAAAAGCTCAGTATTCTGATACTTTATAAACCAAGGAAAGTGACAGTCTAAAAGAGTCTAATGATAAACTAGAAAAGAACTGTATAATAATAAAGACATGAAGCCTAATTATCATAGCAATGACTATTCCTTGTACTGATAAAATGATTGTATACAATAAAAGGAAGAAATCCCTCACGGTAAATATATATTGTTTTCAACTGTCAAAATGTAATTCAAACTTAATTCATAATGTACACATCAAATGTAAGCCCTGCCAGCCTTTGGATTTCTTTCTATTGGCTTCCTAGTTTCCAACTGTGCCTTCGTTATTTGTACTGATTTCTACACAGGCCTGCTGGTGGTATGATAAATATGAATAGTTACTACATTCTTTCTCCACCAATATTTTCATCCTTCTATGTTTAACATGTTATACAGATAAATAGAAGTACTCTGTAAAGCACTAACAAAACCTAACTGTACTTTGACTTTAAATTACAAAACAGTTCACTGGAAGAGTACCTCAGTGAATTTCATCCTCTAAGAAAATACTAGAGCCTGAAATCACACATACGGAAGGTTTTTTCTAATATGGGAAGTTGGTTCAAAAGGCTTCATGAAGTCTGGAAAATGAGAGTCTACTTAAAACCTTTCAAACTATTCTTAAAACAAAAACCAACCTAAGATTTATAGAACTGAAAAGAACACTTACTGCTCAGTTTCCATTTGTTCCTCTTGCTTGCGTTTCCGTTCTGCGGCTTCTTTCTCATGTTGGCCTTTCAGCATGTTCCTCCTGTGAGCACTCTGGAAGTTTCTTCCACCCTTCCTCTTCTGTGGATTTGAGAATCAGGATGGATTTAGTTCACTCTCAAGTCAGTGATTCCTGACTAATTAATCGTGGTAAGAAAAAAAAAAACTACCCTTGAGAACATGAACATAGCTCGACTCTTCTCTGACTATGAATATGAGTCTACTACCCTCCTGTACCACAGTTATTTTAACTTGAACACTCGAAGCTATTGAATAAAAATTTTGGCTTTGGGCATGGTAGCACACACCTTTAATCTTAGCATTTGGGAGACAAGAGTCCCTGTGAGCTCAAGGCCAGCCTGGTCTACAAAACAAGTTATAGATCAGCCAAGGTTGAATAGTTAGATCCTGTCTTAAACCTATCCCTTCCCCCCAAAATTAAAATGTGGTTTCTAAAATATTCAGACAAATAAGATATAAAAGCCCATATTTACACAATTCAGGGGAATTAAACAAAATTTATGTTTTCACGATGTAAGATGTAATGGCATCCAAGTAAAATTACAGTTCATAAAGTGTACAATAGGAAAAGCTTAAAATTTTGTGTATAAATGCACCTCCTGTGTCTTTGCTGATCACAGTCATCTGGGTTATCTACAATCTCTGTTTACATAGCTGGGTTAGAAGTATGTCTAATTTCTAGAAATTATAAGGTCAAGATAAAATTTAGGATATAAAAGAAAGTTTCAAATAAGCCTTTTATATTAGCTAACAGAATTCTACTAGGAAAGATAAAAACTATGTAAACTTTCATAAAAGTAAATGTTCACAGCATAAGAGTTATACTATGTATTAAGAGGCAAGGAATCTCTGATTTTGAAGACAGCCAGGACTTCTGCACAGAGAAACTCTGTCTTGGGGGGGGGGGGGGAAGGCCTTTTAAAAAGGCATGGTGGTAAACACTTTTAATCCCAGCACTCAGGAGGCAGAGGCAGGCAGATCTGTGAGTTCGAGGCCAGCCTAGAGTTCAGAGCAAGTTCCAGGTCAGGGCTATACAAAGAAACCTTATCTTGAAAACTTAAAAAAAATTTACTAAACTAAGAAACAAAATTACAAAATATTTGGGGAAATAGCTCCTGAGTTAAAAGTAGATAAAAAGCTGGCTAGCCAGCTAGTCCAGTTTCAGATTCAGTGAGACACTGTTTGGGCATAACTGGTAACAAGGCTGAGAGTACTGACTGCTCTTGCAGAGGACCCAGCCTCAACTTCTAGCACCCACCTGGAGAGAGAGTCTACTACAATCCCTATCTCCAGTTCATCTGACTTTTAAGCACACACATGATGCACACACATACATGCAGGCAAAGCTTTCATACATGAAAGATAAAATATAAAAATTAACGCTGGAGGGTGGTGGTGAACACCTTTAATTCCAGCACTCAGAAGGGAGGTGGACTCTGTAAATTCGAGGCCAGCCTGGTCTACAGAGCAAGTTCCAGGACACACAGGGCTACATGATGAAATCCTGTCTTAACACCCCCCCACCAACTCCCACCCCCAAAAAGTTAGCCTAAGGTGGAGTGAGCTAGGGAGATTGTTCAACAGTTAAAGTGCCTGGTATGCAAGCAGGAAGACCAGAGTCTGCATCCACAAAACTCAAAAATTCTAGGTAACTATAGTTGGCCGACCTATAATTAAACCCTTTGTAGGCAAAACAAGTGATCCCCAAAGCAAACTGGCTGCCAAGATTAGGCACATGGGGAGCTCTGGGTTTGATAAAGGCTTCCTAAAGAATCAAGTTGAGATCAACTGAGAAAGATTACACACAACCCTGGGCCTCTACACCCAAGTGCACATACAAACCACACGGAAAAAAAGCGCCAAGGAGGACACCTGATGCCCCCAGTGTGCTAACTTGCATATACACAAATGTACAAAGGAGGGAGTCTGAACGTCATTCTCTACCTTTTCACCTTCTTGATCGTCTTCATCTTCGGAATCAGAGGTTGATGTAACCCCTGGTTTAGCTAAATTTTTCCGTTTAGAGTCCACTTCTTTCTTCCCCTCTTTCTTATCTGGTTCTTTTCTGGGCTTATCCTCTTCCTTTTGACCTTCTTCTTCCTTTTTAAGCTGCTTTTTAGGTTGTTTTTCCTCTGGCCCCTTTTTTTTCCCTTTGTCTTCATCAATAACCCTATGTTAGAGCACAGCAATGGAAGGTGAACAATTCATTTATAACTTTTCTTTTTTGAAAGACTTACTTGTATTTATTCATGTGTATGTATGTATGTATGTATGTATGTATGTATGTATGTATGTGTGGAGGTAAGTACTCCTTTAACAGCTGAGCCATCTCTTCAGCCTTCATTTATACTCATTACCAAACAAATATTTCGGGGTGGGGGGGGAATCACAGCAAATTGTTATGTAAAATAAAATTTAATAAAAGATGGTGTGTCATCCTATCATAAAATGGAATTCTACAACAAATATTAAAAGATACAAAATTAGCCAGGCGGTGGTGGCGCACGCCTTTAATCCCAGCACTCGGGAGGCAGAGCCAGGCGGATCTCTGTGAGTTCGAGGCCAGCCTGGGCTACCAAGTGAGCTCCAGGAAAGGCGCAAAGCTACGCAGAGAAACCCTGTCTCGAAAAACCAAAAAAAAAAAAAAAAAGATACAAAATTATAGTAGCACCAAATCAATAAAATGTGATCTCCCTCAGTTTTCCAATTTGCTTTTAATGTAATTTATTTCTTTAAAAAGGATATTTTATTCTTCCAGAGGGCCCAGGTTCAACCCGAGTACCCACATGACAACCCAGCCCCCATTTAATAGAATTATACTTTACATATTTATAAGAATATTTGTTTTAGGGACTGGAAAGATGGCTCAGTGTTTAAGAGTACTGATTGTTCTTCCAGAAGACTCGGGTTCAATTCCCAGCACCCACATGGCAGCTCACAACTGTCTGTAACTCCAGCTCCAGAGGATCTGACACAGATATACGTGCAGGCAAAACACCAATGCACATAAAATAAAAAAAGAATATTTCTTTTAGAAATAAAATCACAGTCATTTGTGGAGATTGAAAAGCATATAATGGTAAATATGTCACCAGTTATTTTTATTAAGCAAATGATCATAGAAACCATGAAATTAAAACACCTACTCCTTGTGGAATATTGACTGTAAACAGATTGCCACTATTTTTTAACTGGCAAGTAAAAATTATATAGATTAAATATAGATGTAAATATATATGCTATTTCAACATTAATGAATCAATCAGGCTATTTAACACAAGCATTTAATAACCCTTAAAATTTGCAGTTTTCAAATATATTAAGCATGCACACATGTCACAAGTGTGTCTGCTCCACTGCCATTTTTTGTTGGTTTCCCCTTTGAGAGTATTCTAACTAGCTCGGAAATAAAGCTCTTCTGTTCTATTTTGGTTGAAAAGTACAGCCCTCCAACAGTACTCCATAATCAACAATCCTTGAAATAATCAGTTCAGGTGTGAAAGCATGGTTTGGTGTGGAAGAGGACTAGTTGCTCTTTCAGAAAACTACGGCTTTGGTTCCCAAGCCAACCTCAGGTGGCTCACCATCGTCAACTTCAGCTCCAGCAGATCTGATACCCAGACTGACTGTAAGAGCACCTGTGTATACATACATGTGTACATACCACATACAGTGTTGTTTTAGTTTTTCATTAGTAAATTATTTCTCAAAACAGGGTTTCTCTGTGTAGCCCTGGCTGGCCTTGAACTCATAGAGATCTCCTGCCTTAGCCTCCCAAATGCTGGGATTAAAGTCATGGCCACCATGCCACTGCTTAGTAAATCCATCCTTAATTGATTTTTCTCTACAAAACCTTTAGATACAATCATCATTTCCTAAATATTCCATCCCTTCTCAAGTTTCTCCAAAAAAGCCAAAGGGAACAGGATTTGTAAGAAATGATGACAAAGGGAAAAAGAAAAACAAACAAACAAACAAAACCCACTTCTTGGTAACTAAATATTTATCATTCTAAAATTAACTTTTATACTCTTTTAAAGAACTTTTTATACAGAACAGAAAAAGGTCTGTGGACACTACTTCAGATATAATCTGCCCAGAAATCTCTTCAGCAATCTACCCTACCCAATTTCCTCCTTTAGCCTACATTACCAAAGTTTATATTATCATACACCACAAAAAAGCTTAACCAAATAACCAGATTTTCAATCCCAAGAAATCTTTCCCGTTTATACAAATTTTCTAATCTCCATAATTTTCAGAAACAAAATAGCAATACAAATACTATGTAAGAAAAACAACACCAACAAAAACACCAACAAAAAAGACTGTTAAAAATATAAAAGTATTTTCTACTTATTTACAAAGGGCTCAGTAACTAATTTGATATTAAAAATAAACTCACATGTCACTCTCTGAAGCACAAGGCTGTTTTACCACCTTAGGTCTGCCTCTTGGTTTTGGAATCTTGACTTCAGTCGCTAATTTTCATATAGAAAAAAAAAGGACAAATTTCCCCTTTAAATGCAAAGCTTATGTAGAATACAATGTTGCATAATACACAACAGTATTATTTAAGGGCATAACCAGTGACCCCATGCATCAGGAAAATTTCCATTTTGTCCTTATTATGTTTGACAGATTAAAACTGGGAAGAGTGGAGGAAGGGGAAACTGCATTTGATACGTAATGTATGAGAAGAAAATAAGTTTAAAAATACATACCTTTTTTTAAAAAAGCATTCATTGCTGTTTTAACGAATGTCACAAAACAACTCTAAAAGTATCACTCATTCAGAATTCATATTTCTATCACAGTAATTTATGTATATACTTTATATACATCTTTGGAATTTGTATCAGTACTCAACAAGATCTTTATCATCACCAATTTGATCCATTAATATTACAAAACATGTAAATAGATTTTAATTTTTCTTTCCAAATTGGACTAATCCCCTTAAAAGTTTTCAGTAAGGATCCTATTATGATGGAGGAAAACAAAAAACAAAAAACAGCTCTATTTTCAGTGTTCTACTCTGTATCATGAAAAACAACTCAACATTATCTCCAAATTGTTAAGTCAATACTTAACAAATATCCTCTCAGAATGCAGTCATTTTAAAGTGAAAAAAATAAAAAAGCCCACTCTTCAAGGTAGTTTACGCTCCCCAGCTTCACTTGGCAGTGTAAGTCAAGTCAATTATTTCAAACTTAGTGAGTAGCTGTATCCAGCAGAAACCATTTCTTTCTCCTTTGATACTGTCATTCACACAGCCTCACATCTGCATGACATCTTCTCAAAGGCATGCAGCACACACTGTGGTAGTCCTGTAAGACTGCATGGCCTAGTGACACCACAGAGAGCTTAGTTTGTGTAAGTATACAATATTGTTCACACAGTGAAACTGCCTAATGACTAACTTCTCAAGCCTCATTTGTATCTATGTTTAAAGTGAGACATGACTGTCTTTAATCAACTGCTGTTCATATTATTCCAAAACACTTGAGCCAGCAATGTTTTAATGGATGGAATATTAACAACATGCCAAAAAGTATGCAAGGATTAAGGATCTACCTGCAGGTCGTCCTCTCTTAGGACTTGCTTTCAAGTTAGCAGAAGCTGTTGCTGTAGCCACCATTCCTGCTTCTTCAGTTTCCACTTGTTTTTCAGCCTGAATCACAAAAATTTAATTAACTTATATTAGCAAGACCTTGCCACTCCATAACAACATAAATAGCAGCATAATTTCTATATGATTTTTATTACTTTTGAACTTACGAGTATCATCTCACTTTTTCCAATCACTTTTTAAATTTCCCATTTGAAAAAATAAGGCTAACATTTCTTGATACAATGAGAACCAAAGTATAATGCAGTTATGCTGTAACAAATCACATTGCTACTTCTAATTCATTAACTTTGCTAATATACATTTACTTCATCTTTCAACTGAGACGGACACCTGATGCTCTCCTAAAGAAGTTACAAGGCTGAAACGTTAATGGGCCCAAATGAGAATCAGTTAATACTGATTTTATTTTAGGAAAATAAAAGAACCACATATAAGATAGGAAATGAAAACATGAAGAAATAGACGGTAGAAATCGCAAAGAGAGGTACAAACCTAGAAAGAAATTCAACTGAAGGACAGTAAAAAGCCACTTGGACTTCAATATTAACTGTGCCACAGAAAAAACAAGAATTTGTCCAAAAACATATAGAACCCAATTCAATAAATTAAAAAAATTCAATATATTTACTTTTGGTCCTGAGTAAGAAACAACATTCCTTCTTTTTTTTTTTAACTTCTTTTTGAGGGGAGGGGCAGAGAAATACAGCCCAGAAAACCACACCAGCCTTAAAAACTCTTTCCTCTCGCCTCAGCCTCCCAAGATGCCTTCCTTCTGTGATTACAGGAATCGCCACCAGGCCCAGTTCCAGGTACCTTTTAATCAGGATGCCCAGGATAGATAAGGATAGCCATCTCTAAGAATTTATGCATAACGCACACTCAAAATATTAAAACTGACCAAAGGTTACCCTTTGATTGTTCTCAGAAACAAAAAATTCTGCGTTAAGAGCTAGGTTAAGATTGAGCCAGTTCTCTGTGAGTTCGAGGCCAGGCTGGTCTACAAAGCTACAAAGAGTTCCAGGACAGGTAGCAACTAGTATACAGAAAAACTCTTGTCTTGGGGAAAAACAAAAATGCATGAGATCATGCTGCCCTATTCCAAGTCTGATCCTGCAACTCCACGTTAAGAACTAGATCGCTGTATTTCCATAAAGCTCCACAGGTACCAAAGGTTAAACTCTTCTACTGATGACTTAATAATAGGTCAAAGGTACTCCAAAGTTAGGTTCAAACAGATCAATCAGCTCTTCAGGGCAAAAAGAACTTACCCTTTCTGCATTTGGAAATAAGTCGAAAGCAAGTAAGAATTACAGGTACAATGGATCATTTGAGAACATACCAACAGACAGTAAATGACATATTCATGACTATTTACTATTTAATATAGTAAAAAAGATCAACTCTAATACTAAACAAAGATTGGCCCTACCATGGATATACATTTATCATTATTAGTGCAAAAGCATGCAAGTAAAAGCCATTACTCATGAAAATATTTTGACCAGAGAAAGGACTAATTCAGTTATTTGAAATATATGCATGAATATCTTTAATGTTCACGTTCTAGATTTTACTTACAATTTTAATATCTGACTGAAACCTCTAATGCTGGATTCATTCTTTCTCATTATTATCACAATTTTCAACTGTACTATCTTTTCTCTTTCCTAACGCCATTCCATATGCAACATGGATCCACTATTCACAGCCCTTTTGATGACTTTGCTACATCTGTTTCACAAATCCCAGAAGATTACTAAGCTGATGAGCCCTAGGAGGCAGGGTGGGATGGGTAACAAACATGAAATACTTTCCTTTAAAGTTGGCATCTCAAATCTGGTGTTAATCCTTTGACCTTCTACTACAGGCCCTGATAGGTAACAAACTTTCAGTCACTTATCCATTGAACTCAAGTCTTGATCTAACTGAATGGGGGAGAAGGGGAAATACAGCTACAAAGAATTCCCTTGAGTCAAAGTGAGCACATCTCCTCCTCCTTAAATCAATCCCTTTATCAATTTTTCCTAGGAAAAATGGTAATATTTTTACTGTTATTTCACATTAAATGTTTCCCTTTATATGCACTGGTATAGTACTTTTATTGCTCGAGATTTGAAATATATAGTACCATTAAACATTTATTCTCCAATCTACTTCATCTCATTTCTGTCCCTAGCACTTACCTATATGAAACTGCAATCTCCTGAATAGGCTAGTTACCAAACATCTCACTAGATCCTTTGTACTGGGCACTGTTGTTAACTTCCTTACTCAAATTCTTCTCTCTGTTGCTTATAGACAACTTCTGGTTCCTCTTGACGGGTCTTCCAGTCACCATTTTGAAGAGGCACCTTCCCTCATTTCTATTATATACCATTCCATTCTAGTTTCTGCATCTACACCAGCAAACATTTTCTCTTGACTTCCTCTAACATTTTACCTTTATACCAGTGGTTTTATCTTTTCCATCTTTTGTACTATTATCATAGGTATTATCAACTTTTTCTTCTGACCCCAAACGAACATGTCTGTGTCCATATCTAGTATACAGTCACTCAAGCAAACACCTTGGAGTCTTCCTACATTCTCCTCCATTCTCTTTACCATTTTATTTCAATCAGCTATCACTTAAACGTCTGAAAGTCTCAATACCATCTCTCATACTAACAAAAATAAATAACTTGATATAAGGACCGTGTCTTTGGAATTTAATGTAATTCCTTAGAAAGGCCTTTCATGACCTACTATGATCACACTAGGCCACTGTTACATCCCCTTCACCTTAACCATTACAGGCAATTAAACAAATACCCAATACATATCAAAGTTACATGTACATCATGCTGTAGTCTATTAGATATATGAAAATAGTCTTAAAAAGAACAATGCACATACCTCAACTTAGGGATACTTAATAAGGATGGGCATGTAATTCAGCGATGGACCTCTTGCCCAGCATGTGCAAGCACTGGCCGAGTCCCAGCACCACAAAACAAAAACACTCATTGGTTTAAAAGTGCTAGCAAACAGGGCTTTGGGGATTCACTCAGTGGTAAAGCTTCTGCTTGTAGCATGTTGAAAGCCCCAGGTTTGAGCAACACACACACAAAAAATTCCAACAACTCACCTATGCCATCAGTTAGCCATATTGCCAAATAGACAGCCTTACCTTGGTGTTGATGGCTACAACTTAATCAGCATGGTAGAGTTACTAAAGGCAGAAGAGCTGTGGCAATGTCTTAAAATGAGGCAAAAAAAGAAATCTGTCCCATCAACTGTGTACTATGCAGTGATTGTTCTTTTTAATATTTTACCTACAGACTTTTCAAAATTGCAGTCAGCTTTCTCAAAATCTGCTGCTGCTTTATGAGCCATTTAATATCCTAAATCCTTTAGTGTCATTTCAACATTTATAGTATCTTCACCAGGAGGAGACTCTACCATGAAATCACTTTCACTGCTCATGCACAAGTGTTAATTTATTCACAGGTATGAAAATATTCTGTCTATCTGTACATTTCCATGACATCACAGCACCTGGGCAACCGGGTGCATTGTCACTAACAACTCTAGAAAGTAGTCTTTTTTCCCCAGAGCAGTACTCCACAGTGGGACTAAGACATTCAGCAAACCATGTGAACAGCTGCCATCCAGGCTTTGTTTCATTTATAATGAAGAGTCAAGGTTCATTTGGTTTAAGTCCTAAATGTCCTAGGGTTTTCAAAATGGGTTCATATTTAAAGTCACTATTAGTTCCAGACCCTAATGATCAGTCTGTCTTCTGAGGTTTTGAATACAGACATTGATTATTCCTAGATGGCATTTTCTTCCAAAGTAAGGCTGTTTACACTGAAGATTTCATTGAGCATGGTCACATTCTTCAGTTATCTTAGCTACATCTGGGTAACTTAATGGAGCTTCTCCATCAGCACCTGCTACTTCCTGTAGCTTTATGTTGTGGAGGCAGCTCCTTGCTTTGTATCTCATGAACTGACCCAGAATAGCTTCATCTGTTGATCTGTACTTTTTTCACTTCCCTCAGCCTTGCTGTGGATTGTTGGGCTTTGGCTTACAGAAGCGTTCTGACTGGCTTAATCTTCTATCCTGACCATTAACACTTTCGCCTTAGCAGCAGTGAATCTGTTGCACTTTATCATTCCAGCATTCATTTGAGCAGCATTCTGAATTTTGTAGAGAACTTTTCCTTTGTATCTGCATTCACAATGTGGCTTACAAGCCCAAGAAGCTCAGTTTTCACCATACTTCAGCCTAACATGCCCTGCTTACTAAGGTTAATCATTTATAGCTTCTAGTTTAAAGAGGCCTGCCTGTGAGGTTTTCCACATGAAGACCTAGAGGCCTTTTACAAACAGACTAATCTCAGTATTATTCTAAGACCAAGATTGGCCCATAGGGGAGCAGTCATTAATTTATCAATTAATGATGCTATCTCATATTAAGCAATTGTGGTGCCTCAAAAAATTATCAAAGATCATTAGACCAAAGTAACACATATAACAAAATTTATGAATAGAATAGCAAAACATGACACAAAGTAAACACATATTATTGGAAAGACTATCTCTGCAGAGTTGTCACAAACCTTTATAAAACGATAGGTGGGCCAAGCATGGTGGTGCAGGCCTTTAACCCTAGCACTCAGGAAGCAAAGGCAGACAGATCTCTCTGAGTTTGAGGCCAGCATGGTCTACATAATGAGTTCCAGAGCACCCAAGGATATACAAAAAGACCCTGTCTCAAAAGAGACAGGGAAAAAAAAAACCCACCACCACAACAAAAACACTTTGTATGGCAAGTGCAATACAGCAAAGCTCAAGAAAATTAAGCATTCCTGTATTTTTTTTATTTTGATTTAAAAAAAAACAAAACAAAACAAGAAACCTGTTTCATTTGTTCACTGTGCCAGTGAAGTCAGTTCTAAATTTCTGACTTTCTCACTGATCTGATCTCACTTCCCTAATACAATTGCCTATCATCACACTGTCTTAAGAAGGGAGTCATGTAACATTTTAAATGATTCAATGATTTCCCATAATTTCATTTCTTCAGAAAAACATTGTAGTTTTATTGCCATTCCCATCCAACTTTAAAGCCTATCAATAATAAAATATGCATCGCAAGTCTTAAAATTCCTCCGTATGTGTCTGAATAGATACCCTCAGATGACCTGCTCCTTTATTTGCCCCTTGTTTAAAACTGTACACCAGAGGACAAAAAGCCACTGTAATTGCTTTCTTCTATTACTTCCCAAGACATTAAATTCTTGGCTTCATTTCTGTCTTTGGCATACAAATGTCTAGGATGTAATAACTAGGTCAGAGACAGGTGGGAACAAAACCTAACCCTGGATTCAAAGCCTACGAACTACCTGCGCTCTATCTACTGTTACTCCACTCTCACGTCTCACAACAGTACACTAGCACAATGGACAACAGTCTCGTGCGGGAATTGAAGAATCAGGACTTTACTATTTCACTGCATCAAATAATCAAGAATGTGACTATATTCTTTTCATTTTATAGAGAAAATGAGGCCTAGCAGTGGTGGTGCACGCCTTTAATCCCAGCACTCAGGAGGCAGAGGCAGGCAGATCTCTGTGAGTTGAGGCCAGCCTGGTCTACAGAGTGAGTTCCAGGAAAGGCTTCAAAGCAACACAGAGAAACCCTGTCTTGAAAAACCAAAACAGAAAAGAAAAGGAGACAGAAGGTTGAAAGGAGTGAAAATTGTTTGACTTTACTCTTTCATCATTCAGCTTAACTTAAGGATGCCATAGTTTTATCACCAAGAAAAAACTTCACTAAAGTAACCAGCTTATTAGCCTTTAAAAATTAAAGGGCACAGGTCGAGTGTGAATAAGGTTTCCTTATCTCCATTCTTCCTCAGTTTAAGTAAAATTTCTTTTAGAATTCTTATGGTGTATTAAAGAAATTACCTTTCTCTTTCTTCCTCGCCTGGCAGCTTTTGGAGTGGTTATGTCAACTGCTTTAGTCACATCCTAAAACACAAAGCAAAAGCAGGCGAAACTAGCAAAAAACACAAATGAAACTGAATATATCATACAAGTGTGTAAGAAATGTCCATAAACTAAGTCACAGACGTGTTTCACTGATAGCACAGGATGAAATCTCCTGTCACGCTAACCTTTGGAGTTAGTTCTCACTATCATAGTGACAACATCTTCAGAAAACAACAGCCTTATGGATCCCTGCGGCTATTTTCAGAGGTTAAATGAGTGGCCTGCATAGGATCATATTTGAATGCTTAGTCATCACGTGTGGCACTACTTGAGAAGGACCAAGAGATGTGGCCTTGGTAGAGAAAGAGTGTCACCGAGGATGGGCTTTGAAGTCTCAGAAGCTCAAAGCAGGCCTAGTGTCTCTCATTCTTCCTGCTGCCTGCAGATCTAGATAGAAAACTCTCAGCTACTTCTCCAGCACCATGCTCCCCATCATGAAACTGGAACTAAGTCACAATTCAATACTTTTTTTTGTAAGAGATGCCGTAGTCTTCACAGCAATAGTGCAATGACCAAAACAGCCTACAGGGCTGAGCATCTCTACTCAAATAATGAAGTGAGCAGGAATAAATCAGGTTTAAAATTTTTTCAGTCTAATGTTTTTTAAGCACTTCCAGCCCACAATATTTTTGGTTTGGTTTTGAAATTTATTTTCATTTTTGGTGTTTTGCCTGCATCTATGCCTGTATGAAGGTATTGGGTCTATTGGAACTGTGGGTGCTGGGAATTGAACCTGGGTCCTCTGGAAGAGCAGTCAGTACTCTTAACCACTGAGCCATCTTTCCAGGTCCATTTTTTTTTTTTAAAGGAAAAACAGTATCTCTAATAAACAGTAACCCACCTTATAGTTACACCTGTTTCGAACATAAAAACAATTTCAAATAAAAACTTCCATCCAAAGGCTAAAGAGAAAGTTCAGTGGTTAAAAAAAATTGCTGGTCTTCCAGGACTCACGTTCAGTTACCAAGACATGGAGGCTTACAACCATTTTTAACTCCAGTTCCAGGGTATCCAATGCCCAATGCCCTCCACAGACAACAGGAATGCATCAAGTGCACAAGCACAGATATAGGAAATCTAAAAACTACTTAAAAATGTGCATATTAAAGATGCATAAGCTATTTTATATAAACAGATTTAATATCTGAGGAAATTAAGCTGTTTTCATTCACTTTTCAAATACTTCAAAGATTACTTCCTAATTTGCCAGTCAACTCACTTTAAAATTTCTTGCAATAATCGTAAAATCCACAGGCAGTACAAGACAGCCCCATGCCTATTCCTCCCTTACAGTATATGCAAAACTACTATCCATCAATACATTTTCTTCTTAGATCAGAAAAGATATAAAACATACTTCATTGCTGGCTTTTTCTTCATGATCAGTATCTTCCTTTGAAACACTAGTTTCTTTTTCTTCAACTTCAACATCAGATGATGCATTTGACTGTTTAGTTGATGCCTATGAAGCATAAATTATTAACTTCTAAAAAATGGCTTACCCAACTTGAAATTTTTCTACTCATGCAAAATCAAAAACTTACACAGTTAAGGGAATACCCCAATTTCTGTTGCAAAGGATATTTAATATATATAATTTTTAGAATTTAAAGCAGGGAGTATTGCTACTGTATTCCCAGCATTTTAGGTAGGAAGATGGCTACAAGTTTGAGACGACCCTAAGCTAAACAACTTGTAAGCCAAGCTAGGATATGGAGTGACACCTTGCCTCAGAAAATTTTAAAACAGGCAAATTAAAATAATCAGTTTTGGCAAGACATAGGGGCACTCAGGAGAGTGAGTCAGGTGAATTCTAAGTTGGAGGCCAGCCTGAGCTTTATATCAACAAAGTGGGAAAGCTGGAGGTGGGAGGTGGATCATCACCTAAAATAGTACTGAAGATTGAACATGCCTAATCAGAAATCCAAATGTTTCCAAAATCCAAAACTTTCTGATCATCAATTCTTTTGTAAAGGAATAAAATCATGTAAAATCTCCTTGAATATTGCTCCTAACACTACAAAATGTTTTAAGTCACAGTGGCCAAATTTCTTTGTTTTGAATTAATTTTTTCTTTTTTTGTTGTTGTTTGTTTTTGTTTTTGTTTTTCAAGACAGGGGTTCTCTGTAGCTTTGGAGCCTATCCTGGAATTTGCTCTGTAGACCAGGCTGGCCTTGAACTCACAGAAATCCGCCTGCCTCTGCTTCCCAAGTGCTGGGATTAAAGGCGTGTGCTGCCATCACCACCCGGCTGTTTTCAACTCCATCAGGCATCAAATCAGCAAGTTGATCACACTGTAAGTAAGGACTGTGGCAGTAACATGATACTATGTACAGAAGCAATTACAGGATACTATGTAGTACCATAACATATACTAATTAGATGTTAAGACCATCTAAAGAAGGCTTGGTATAACAAGGAAAGATATCAAAACTCTACAGAACATCTAAAAATTTGTCAAAGGCAATAAACAGTATGGCACATGAAAAAACTTCAGATTTTTTTATTTTTTGCCCCCCACCCCACCCACAGGTTTCTCTGTGTAGCTTTGGCTATCCTGGAAATCACTCTGTAGATCAGGCTGGCCTCAAAGTCAGAAATCCACCTGGCTCTGCTCCCTGAGAGCTGTAATTAAAGGCATACAGGACCACAGCTTCAACGTCAGTTTTAAGAGTTGAATAATGGTCACTTTTTTCAGGGTGATTCATACTTTTCCAGTTTTTTGCTACCTAGAGCTTTAAAAAGTTTTTTGTTGATGAAGGAGAAAGTGAAGCATAGTTTCATAAACATCTCCTTTGGAAGTTCTCTGGCCCTAGTATAAATAGTGGTGCTTTTTTTTCCCTTAGTTTTCCAAGCCAAGTTTTCTCTGTGCAGAGAAACTTATTATCCTGAAACTTACTCTATAGACTAGGCTGGCCTTGAACTCACTGAGATCCACCTGCCTCTGCTTCCCAAGCGCTGGCATTAAAGACGTGTGCCATCATCACTGCCAGCTATAGTGGCTCATTTTACCTAAGTTCTAGAGCTTTTGAATATTCACGAGTGCAACTGGCAATCTAGGAACACATTATTAAAGCAGCATGGGGACATAGATTGGTTAGCAGGGGAAGGAACTTGCTGAGCAAGCCCAACACCAGCATAGTAAAGTGGATAGAAAACCAATGTCACAAAGTTGTACTCTGACACATGCATACATTATGCATACACCATATAAACACAAAATAAGTAAAATTAAATCTGTATCTGTACCAAGACAGGAAAAAAAATTGGAGAAAAACAACCATTTCTGTTACAGAATAAAAACTGAACAAACATGGAGTGGTGGCGCATGCCTTTAATCCCAGCATTTGAGATGCAGCAGTGGGCAAATCTCTGAGTTTGAAACTAACCTAGTATACAGAAGAAGTTCCAGGACAGGCAGGGCTATACAGAGAAACCTCGAAAATAGGAAAAAGGAGAATAGAACAAACCATGTACAAAGCAAACCACTCTATGAAAATGTAATGCCACATATAAATTAAAAGCTCTGGCAGGAGGCTGTTTAGAATAGGTAGGAAAAAAAATTAATAGGTAGAATTTCTACTGGGGCTATAAATACTTGTTACATATTTAATTCATGAGGTCCATTCTAGTAACATTCTATAAATCTGTAAAAAAGTAAAGGGCACATGCTTTAAGTTTGCAAAACAATTAGGTCAGTGAGAAGGCTCAGCAGGTAAGGGTGTCTGATGTTCATTGATGCATGCCTGCTGACCTGAGTTCCATCCACAGAACCATGTTAAGGTGAATGAAGAACTTCACAAAGATGTACTTGAACTCCACACATGCACTATAATGTACGTCCCCACACATATCAAACATGCAATAATAAAAAAATGTTAGAGCCCCAAATCTAACAAGACATTAAATTATGGCTTTAAATTCAATAATAGTTTAAATAAACTTTACTGTCAATCAAAAAAAGCTAAGCAGCCAAGTTCTTCCCAATTTTTGAGATCTATTTAGTCATTCAATTAAGAATAAATTTAGACACAAAATGTCAATGTTCAACCAAAAAAGCATAACAATCTAAAATTCATGAGGTACTTTAATTGGCTGTGTATTTTACAATGACAATATTTTTCCTCTAACACTAAACAACAGTAAATTTTAATAGAATGACTCACCTGTTGACTTGAAAATTTCACTTTCGGATTGTTATCTATCTCCCATAATCCTTCATTAAAACCTTTTCGTTTATTTGGTTTGCCATACTTTTCCTTATTTTCTGAGTAAGGAAAGATGTCCTTTGGTCCTAAAAAAGCACTGTAACAGAAAGGGAAGAAGAAAGTGCAAAGCAACCTCCATTAAATATGTATTGGGCTACTAGGTGACACGCGCCAATAACACTTCATATATACAAACTAGTTTCTTGGTTTTTGTTGTTTTTCAACCCAGGGTTTCTCTGTGTAGCCTGGGTGACCTAGCACTTATTGGGTAGACCAGGCTGGCCACAGACTCAAGAGATCTGCCTGCCTCTGCCTATCTAGTGCTGGGATTAAACGGGCACACCATCATAGCCAGCTCATACAAACTAGTTCTAATTCCTAGTGATCTCATTAGTGAGAGCAACTTCACCAGGGTAAGGTGGTTAGAATGCTCTTTCTAGAAACGTTCTTCAGGTGCTGCTTACTTACAAATTTTCCCTGTGTATGTGGGGTGGGGGTGGAGATAAGAGGAATTCATACAAAGTCATATCTAATGCCAAACCCTATTTTTCTTTTATAGTATTAATGATTGATTGGCAAGCTCTCAACCACCAAGTTACACTCCCAGCCTAGAAATACTTTTATAAAATCCACTAACAATTACCCAGATCCATAATTCTATTTTTAAAATTGCATAAAAAGTGAACTGTATTTAACACCACTGACTGTTGTACACTTAAAAATAGCTAAAATAGCACACGCACTTAATCCCAGCACTCAGGAGGCAGAGGCAGGCAGATGGATCTTTCTGAGTTTGAGGCCAGCCTGGTCTACAGAGCAAGTCGCAGGACAGCTAGGGCTACACAGAGAAACCCTGTCTTAACCAACCAACCCAATATAAAAGGCTAAAACAGACTAGGGCGATGGTTCAGTGGGCCTGAGTTTGAATCCCCAGAACCCATCTACAGTTCAATGGGGCAGCTCAGTTATCTCTCATCCCAGTGCCCTACTGTGAGGAGAGGAAGACAGAAGAGTCCCCCAAGTTAAAAGGCTAGTCTGGCACATGCAGCACAAAAACATAACCCCAGAAAGACGCCGTCTCAAACAAGGTAGAGAGGAGGGACCAACACCGCAGGTTTTCCTGGCCTGCAGACAAAGGCCGGAGTACCACAGAGTGTGTGTACTCAAACACATATAATGACGGTAATAATAAATGATTTAAATATAATTAATAATACCATGAACATTTCAAAATAACTAAAAGGGATTTCAAAGGGTCTGACCAAAGAAACAGATAATTGATGCTAGTTACCATGATTTCCTCCACTGTATAATATACACATATCAAAGAACCACACTGTACCCCAGAAACGTCAACAATTATGTTAATAAAAACCTGGCTATTTTCCACAACAAACTGAAACATGATTAGTATTAAGCATTTAAATGCATCAAAATGTGTTCATTTCAACATCTGGCACATTACATAATTCCTAAAAGTATCAACAAAGAATGCCATATAAATATATGTTTAAAAAGGAATAGGGCTGGGTGGTGGTGGCATGCGCCTTTAATCCCAGCAATTGGAAGGCAGAGCCAGGCAGATCTCTGTAAGTTGTAACTTGCCTGGTCTACAAAGCGAGTTCCAGGACAACTGGGACGGTTACACAGAGAAACCCTGTCTCAAAAAAAAGTGTTATGAAATTCATTTATTTAGTCAGGCATGGTGGTTCACACCTGTGATCCCAGCACTTGGGAAGTGCGAGCAAGAGGAGTAAGAGTTCAAGACCATCCTTAGCTACTAAGCAAGTTTGAGGCCAGCCTGGGCTACAAGAAATTCTGTTCAAAAAATAATTTTCCTCAATGATGGAATCAGACATCATCTTTTTATTTATTCACATGTACAGTCAGTCAACTCTTATCCTTGACAGGAAAGGTAAGTAAACATAAACTAATACCTCTTCAGAGTACATACATGATTAAATTCCTGTAATCAAAACATTTTCAAAATCCAGTCAAATACCTAACCTTCATTAATGTGTGTTTCAGTTTAAAGATGGCTTATTTAGGCCAGGGCAATGGTGGTGCACGCCTTTAATCCCAGTACTCAGGAGGCAAAGACAGGCAAATCTCTTTCAGTTTGAAGCCAGCCTGGTCTATAGAGCGAGTTCCAGGACAGCCAGGACTGTTACAAAGAGAAACTGTCCTGAAAAACTAAAAGATAGCTTATTTAATGATTACTGGTAATTTTTTAACATTAAATTCATAGCCAAAGCTTATTTAACATGGATTTAATCTAAAATAAAGCACAGCCTTCATGCACTTAGAAACTACTAAACAGCATTTTACTACTGTAAGACTAGTTTAAAAATCAAAATGACCCCAGAACACACAAAACTCCATTCAACCAGACAGACTATAATGTCTTTGTAGTATGAGCTGAAATAAAAACATTATTTTAATTAGGAATGTTTGTATCAGATACTTTTTTTGCTCATTTGGTCATATCTATGTGGTCTGTGGTTACACTAAATTTTAAAGTGAGTGAGCAATTAAAAAATAATAATCTGCACCAGGTGTAGTGGCAGATGCCTTTAATTCTAGCACTTGGGAGTCAAGAGGCAGGAAGATCTTATAGCCGGAACTACATAATGAGACCCTGTTTCAAAACCTCAAAGTAAATAAAAATCCATGAATAATGAGCATTAACTGTTTTACTGTACTTAGACCTACTCTTCAAGATATCTCCCTACATGTTCTTTAGAAAGTCTGTCAATTTGGAGCTGAAGGGATGACTCAGTGGTTAAGAGCACTTGCTGCTCTTGCAGAGGACCCAAATTCAGTTCCCAGCACTCACAGTAAGTAGTTCACAACTGTTTCAACTCCAGTTCCAGGGGACCCAATGCCCTTATATTTGCGAACACCCATACCCAGAAAATAAAAATAAATCTAAATAAAAAGGAATATCAACTCTGTAAAGATGGGCACAGTATGTCTGACTGCTCTGCTATGATGGTTATACACAAGTATTTTACCCAAAGCAAAGACTGTTTATTTCTTCAAAAATGTTTAATATATCTAACAAATTACTTCTCTGCTGAAATTCTATACTAAAGAACTAATAAAAAGTTATCCCTGGTAGAGTATTGCACAAAATTTTCATGAAAATAATTCTTGGTAGCTGGGAGGTGGTGGTGTACGCCTTTGAGTTCAAGGCCAGCCTGGTCTACAGAGCGAGTACTAGGACAGCCAGGGTTACCCAGAGAAACCCTATGGGGGGCGGGGGTGATGACATTGCTGGATATAATAATCTTAAACTGGGAAATATAGCATATTCTTTTTAATTTTGTATCTTTAAATATAGGAATAAAGTTAAAATCAGTCAAACAGAGGCCAGGCATCATGGATGGCACATGGGTTTATAATCTATAACTCTAGTTCCAGGGGATCTGATGCTTTTTTCTGGCTTCCATGGGTACTGCACACATGTAGTGCACATACATGCAGGCAAAACACATATACACTATTTTAAAATAAAGTCTTTAAAAAAAAGCCTCAGTACTAAGTAGTATGAAGATTAGTGATAAGGGATTGAGTCAGTGTTTGGACATTGCCTAATATAATCTTTTTTTTGGGGGGGGGTGGGTGAAACAGGGTTTCTCTTTTTACCCTGGCTGTCCTGGAACTCTTCTGTAGAGCAGCATGCCACTTCCACAGAAATAGTTAAAAATTTACAGTCTTTCCTTCTACTTGGTTAGTGTTTAAACTTAAATTCTGCTGGTTTCTAAAAGTACCCTTCCCTTTGATCCCTCCAACCACACAGACCTTTATAAACCTAAATAACTCATAACTCTATAAAGGTTTTTTTTTTTTTTAAGATTTTTGTTTTATTAATTCCCTGTATACGTTGGAGAAGGTGTAGTTGTGCATATGAGTACAGTACCCAGATGTCAGAAGAGGATATCAGATTTCCTGGAGTAGGAGTTGCAGCAGTTGTGAGCCACACAACATAGGCGATGGGAACTTGGGTCATCTCTAAGAGCAGTTACGGTGCATGTCTCCAGCACTACCAGCCCCACACAAAAATTTTTGAGACAGGGTCTCATTAAATAGCCCTAGCCGGCTATGTCTATCAGGCTGCCCTAGAAATCGCAGACATCTGCCTGTCTCTGCCTCCCGAGTATCGGATTATAGATGTATCCCATCATGGGCATCTGTAGCTCTGGCTGTCCTGGAACTCACTCTGTAGACCAGGCTAGCCTGAAACTCAGAGATCTTCCTGACTCTCGAGGGCTAGGATTAAAAGCATGCGCCACCACTGCCCAACCCAAGATCTTTTTTAATTCACATAAAAGACACTCAGCATCACTAGCCAATCACAGAAATATAAATAAAAACAATTTATGGCTGGGATATAGCTCAGCTGGTATAGTGCTTGTCTAGAATGTAGGAAGTCCTAGGATCATTCCCAGCACCACAACACTCCATGTATGGTACCATGACAAAGGCCTGTTAATTCAGCATTCTAAAGGTAGAAGCAGAAGAATCTGTTTAAAGCTATCCTCAGCTCCGTAGTCTGAGGCCTTCATGACATACATCAGACCTGTTGCCAAAAAGCAAAAACTAAAATGAAGAATTTGGGATATTTATACATGAATGTTCTGCAAGCAGTCTGGCAGTTTCTCAAATGATTAAACATTAAGTTGTCAATCAAACCAAGAATTAGTTTCTAGAGAGGTGAAAACGTATGTCCACACAAAGCATACACAATGGATGACTGTATAGAGTTCAGGAGTAGAGAGCTTGCCTAGGATATGCAAAGCCCTGGGCTAGATCCCAGCATCATCAAAAAAATAATTATGTATAAGTGCTCTTATCAACATTACTCATAACAGCCAAGAGTAGGAAACCATAGATGTCTATTAAGTCATAAATACAACATGGTAAAACGAGACAATGAAATATTAGTTGGCAGTAAATAAGAAAGGGAAGCATGGCTAAAGCATTAATCTTGAAACACTATATTAAATAAAAAATTAATAGTGACTGAAGACCTCATTAAATGGTTTCATTTACATGAAACACTCAGGGAAGTAGTTTGAAGGTTGCCTCAGCCAC